CTCAACCTTGGCGACTTGAAGATGTGTGGATTTCAGCTCTCATGGCTGGCTGGGGAATTCTGCGAGCTGAAGTCCACACATCTTCAAGTCGCCAAGGTTGAGGAACCCTGCTCTAGAGTGTATTGAACTCTTTAAAAAGATTGGATGTAACTCTTTGGGGTTAATGATTTCTCCCCTTTCTTACCTGCAGGGAAAGTTGTGTATGCAGAGACTACCACAGCACACACTACACTAACAGGCTTGCACTACTATCACCAGGACTGGTCCCATGCAGCAGCCTACGTCACAGTGCCACCCTTGCGGCTAGACACAAACACTTCCACCTACCTCATGAGTTTGCTTGCCAAGTAAGAGGCTTTGGGTTGTTTAACTCTAGATTGTGCCTTAAGTATCAATTGCAACATAATCTGAAAGGGATAGAAAAGGACAGAGCTGGGTGGGAAAGTCTGAGCCTATTCATTCATTCATTTATGAAAAATTTAAGACCACCCAATCCTACAACTCATGTGAACTCTGGGGTGAAATATCAACACAATAGGCAGCACTTAGGATTGACGTATCCTTTGTCCTCTTTTCTGTTTCTCTCTCCCCTCAGTGACACTGTGAATGTTGTGGCCTCTGATCACCGGCCTTTCACCACTAAACAGAAGGCAATGGGGAAGGAAGACTTCACTAAGATCCCCCATGGAGTTAGTGGGGTACAGGACCGTATGGCTGTCATCTGGGAACGTGGAGTGGTAAGGAATAGCATCAGAGGGAATTTGGCTGATAAGCAGGCAGAATGCCCATTCTGGTTTCCTAAATAGGAGCAGGAAAGTATACAAAGTAGGTACAGAAATAAGGACCTGCTTTGTATCCTGAAGCAGAGCTTCCTGTTCTCAGGAATAAAATTTCTGCAGGAATAAGTCACGGGCTTATCATTTAGCATTTTTTGTCACATGGTAGTCAAAGGTTCACTTGGGAAATTTACAAGCATGGACAAAAAGAGCATAGCTTGCCTTCTTCCAGTATTGCCCACTCCCAACTAACATTTCAGGTATGCTTCCTGTGCTTCAGGAGATAGTACATAGTCATCTAGAATAGTAGCCATGGGGCACCTGACCCTCTATGAATTTCTCTTCTCCAGTTCTCTTTTATAATTATCTGCATTGGCGGCCATCACTACATCTGACAGCACTGAATTCCATAGTTTATGTGTTGTGTAAATAAATACTTCTGTTTATTGGACCTGAATTTTCCTGTACTCGATGACCCCAATTTTTAATACTGCAAAATAAATGGCTGCCCACATTTTCCATAAAAAACCTAATTTTATCACATTCATCTCTTACCTATCTTCTTTTGAAAAACCAAGCCACTAGTTTTTCTTCTTAGGGGAGCTATTGCACTCATAATTTTCAGTGCCTCTTTCTGTACCTCTTCCAGCCCTACGATGTCATTTTAAAGCGGCAGTGACCAGAATGGGACATTTTTCAGATGCAGCCCCATAACGACATTACCATACTTCCGTTTTATTTTCAGTACCTTTGCTAGAGAGTTTAGCCGAGGAATTCACCTTATTTACAGCAGCCGTATACTGGGTTGACCTTTGCGTTGTACTGTAAAATATGATTCCAAGATCCCTTTTGTGCAACTGACTTGTGGGTTTTTGCTTCAGTGGGCAACTCTTTGTGGTAGCTTACACTGAACTGCACTGGCCATTTTAAAGCTCATTAAACTAATGCGAAGATATCCATTTGGAGCTCTTTGCAATCTCTTTTTTATTTTTTCATCCTGAATTACTTGTGGTATCAACAAAATTGCCTTCTCTCTGCTCACTCCTAACTCCAAATAAATACTAAAATGGGGTCCCAATACTGAACTTGTGGGAGCTTACCTTACTTACATCTTTCCATTGTGAAAATTATTTCTACCCGCTGTTTCCTGTTCCTTGCCCAGATACCAATCCATGAAAGACCTGTTTACTTATCCAACAGACGCTATTTTGATTGGAGCCTTTGGTGAAGGACTTAAAGTTTTTTTATAAGTCCAAGTATATAATATCTATCAGTTTTCTCCTATCTATTTACTTACTGACACACCAAAAGAAATCTAGCAGGAGAGTGGAATAGGACTTAACTTTGCGAAAGCTATGCTGATTTTCTTCAGCAGGACTTGTTCTTCTATATGCCTGAATAATGCTTTTCACTTATTTATCAGGAAAAAAATTAAGCTAACTGATCCCTAATTACCTATATCTCCTTTGATCCATTTTTAACATTGGGATTACACTGGCCTTTTTTTAGTATTGAATTTCCCAATATCCATTTCCCTAATACTGGGTTTAGGAAGCAGGAGAATATTTTTGTAATTTTGTTGCCCTTCTTTCTATTCAAATATACCATCTCTAAGTAACATCACAGTTGGGATATGGATAGTGAAATTTCTGTTTTCAGAGCCAGTGATAGTTATGATGTAGAGGTCACAACTAATTGGAAAAGCTCTGAGGCAGAGTTGTAGCTTGCAAGCTTTTCAATGAGCAAGGCAGCCCTCCTTCAGCTCAGTGGCCATAGTCTTTTTGGCTATCAGCTGGGAGAAGACTGGATTTGAAGTAGGTGATTTCTTCTGTTGTGCATCAACAATCCAGTATTTCAGTTTCACAGTCCTGTCATTGCTTATCCAGACTCAAGATCATCTTCAAAGGACCTTTCTGGATGTCTTATTCCAAAGAAATGCAGCTACTAGAGGTGTGAGAGAAGGCCATTTTGGTTGTGGCACTCTCATTAAGGAATGTCATCTATAGAGAAGTATCTCTGAAGCTGAACTGTAGCCTTTGGAGTATTATGTGAAGACAATTTCCTAGGCCTTTGCATTTTCAAAAATCATAGCATATTTTGTGGTTCTATGATAATTTTTTAAGAACTATGAGAGCTAACTTGCAACATATCCTCTTGCTAACAGGTTAGGAAGTGAAAAAGTTTTGGAGACCAAGAGTCCTGAGGAAGGAAGGTTGATCTATTTGTTAGAAAAACTAGGATTAGATTTTTGCGCAGAGTCTTTCTAAGATTCTATATGGCTTTGGCAAGGATTTATTTTCATTCTTTTTTCTGGAAATCCTCCAGATTTTATTTGTGTTGCTCAAATTATTCTCTCTCTTCTTATGCTTCTTGAAGTTGTTTCTTGCTCCATTCTCCCTCTGTGCAGTGTTTTTTCTGGATCTTAGTAGCAGCTACCAAAACAAAAAAACAAAAAACCACTTTTAATGCTCAGCCTCTACTTTTATCTTGATAATATGTTCCTCCCAATGGCTCTCAGTTGACAAGCTCCTGTTGCTTCATTCTAAGAGCAGATAAGTCGCTTTTTAATTGAGTAGGCAATTTCTAAATTCCGTTCTCTGATTTAAGAAACAAATAAACACTGAGTTGTGAATGGGAGCTACTCCAGGGAATGAAGAATAATCAAAGGTGCTGGTTATTTTGTGCTTGGATTTCCCAAGGTAATCCTCCATTTTCAAAGAGAAGCCTGTAGCAGAATAATGCCAATGCTTTCTTTTCTTTCTGTTGGTAGAGAAGGCTGCTAGTTGCCATATGAAATAGGAAAGGCATCTTCTATGTATCTGGAGGCACTTTTTTGAATTATCAAAAGTTGATAAAAATAATTTTAATTATTAAGCCTCAGTCAAGATGATACTTGTTAAAAATGTTAGTGCTGTTTTGAATGTTTATTAATTGTTGGATCTTTTGCTACTGGATTTGTTACTGCTTTTATTTGTATTTTCATTCATTCATTCATTCATTCATTCATTCATTCATTCATTCATTCACTGATATAATGCCTTTTCCCTGAGAGCTTAAGGCAGCTTATATAAGTCGTTTTTCCAATTTTATTTCTATAACAAGCCTGAGAAGTAGTTAGGCTGAGAAAGTGACTAGCCCAAAAATTAGAAGTGAGCTCTGTAGTCCAAGTTGTACACCTTAACCCAGTGTTTCTCAAGCTTGGCAACTTTAAGATGTGTGGACTTCAACTCCCAGAATTCCTCAGCCAGCATTAGTTGGCTGGGGAATTCTGGAAGTTGAAGTCCACACATCTTAAAGTTGCTAAACTTGAGAAGCACTGCCTTAACCACTACACTCTTTTTGCATGTTATTATTTTCTTTTATTGGAAGTTGCCCAGAGAGCATCTTGTTGACTGATACTCCAAATGCATTCAGTAAATAAATTGCCATTTTTCACCTTAGAGCAGAATCATGCCTAGTGCTTCTGTACCATTCTTCCATAGCTTCCTGCTTTCTGCCACAAGCACAGACAGAGTCTTCAAAGCCACTTGTCCCCAGTGGGCATAAGAACAATGGCTGTCAGGTTGATATAAATCTGTCCTTTGGTCACAATTTACATGAAAGAGCAGTTCCCTGTAACTGTACCCCTCTACTTGCACCCTTGCATGTCCTTTTAGCATCCATGTTAAAAGCTGGGCCTTAACAAAGTAAGAGAAAAGAAAGTAACACAGCATTTGAAGAAAAACTCAACTGCAGGTGAAAAGTTGGGCAGGAAGAGATGGTTCATATAACTGACCAAGCAAGGAATGGCAAACATCTGTTGCTCATACATGGGGATGTCTTGTAAAGAGATACTCTATGCCTACAACCCAATAATTTCCTTTTTTCAGAGACTATAGTCCCCTTATCCAGACCATGTTCTTTCACACCCTCACCCCCACCCCATAACTCAGCCTGAGCAGGAACTGAATCTTCTGACTCTGCCCCTTTACAGGTAGGGGGCAAGATGGATGAGAACCGCTTTGTTGCAATCACCAGCTCTAATGCTGCCAAGATCTACAACCTGTACCCTCGCAAGGGCCGCATCATTCCTGGAGCCGATGCAGACGTAGTTGTGTGGGACCCTGAGGCCACCAAGTAGGCACTGGGGAAGGTGGGACTGGGAGGAGGGGGGCAGCCAGAGGCCTAATAAGAGCTTCCTGTGCTCCAAAATGAATTTCAGATGGGGGGCATCCCAACATTTGTCATTAGGGGAACAACTAGCTTTGTTCTGGTGCCAAGGCTTACACATTAAAATCACTTTCAGGGAGGAATGGCAGCAGTGAGGGCTCAGGGCACTTCCTTGCCAATGGATGGCACCAGCAGGTGTTGACAGTATTAGGGCTGTCAGATCTGATCTTCAAGACTCTGGATGACTATTAGATGGCAGTAAAGAGAGGTCTGAGCATGAAACTGAGCAAACTGAGCAAACTCAGGGAGGCAGTGAAGGACAGGAAGGCCTGGCGCGATATGGTTCATGGGGTCACGAAGAGTCGGACACGACTTAACGACTAAACAACAACAACAAAGAGAGGTCTGGTGGTTTTTTGCTGTCATCTAGGGGTCCCCCTGGTCAGCACACATTCAGGTTGTCTGCCATGCTTATCCACAGCCTGCTTCCTCCTATCTCAGCCCCATCCATTATGCTGGATAAGATAAATGTTTAGGTTGCACTGTGGGTAGATGCTGGCCTGCAGCAGACTACAATTAGGTTTGATTTTTTTAAACACTGAAGATCCAGGTGGGGCCCTTTGTGCCAGGGGCCCAAGGTGGCTGCTACTCCTGCCTTAACTGTATTTACACCACTGGGAATGGCCAAGGGGCTGAATGATAGGAAGTTGGGAACCTGTGCTAGTCCTTTTAATTGCCATGTAAGCTGTTGGAAGGGAGGACAGTAACGACAGTATCTAAATATTGATTGAATGATCAAACTATCCCTGATTTCATTAACCAAGGTTATTTATTTGATGTATATCCCACTTTTCATTCAAGACCTCAAGGTGGCATACATAATGCTCCATCCTCCCATTTCCCCCCACAGCAGCAACCTTGTGAGGTAGGTCTGGCTGAGAAAAAATGACTGGTCTGAAGTCACCCAACGAGTTTCCATGACTGAGGATGGACTAAAACCTGGGTCTCACCAGTACCAATCCAACACTGTAACCACCACATCACACTGTCTATCGTGTGAATACAGGATCTTGGTTCCATATGCCAGATAACAAAACCATCAACAGAACTAAAACAAATCCTAGCTTTATTTTGTTGTTTCCTTGGGGTGGACAGAGCCAAATCCTGCATGCAGATGTCACGCAGTGTCTGACAAAGCCACAAAGAAACTGCTACCTGATTCCCTCAAAGGCAGAGCCTGTGGGCAGAATATTTGCTCCTAAGGCAACCTTACAGCTTAGCATTAGGCCAGAACTGATCCAATAAATATTTTAATTAGTATTTCCATGTGGGATGCAAAGAACAATCTCATGTCTGTCTAGTTACTATAGACAAAAGAGGACTTACCAATTGATAGGACAGGGGACTGGCACGGCAAAGGACTATGGACTTTGCAGCATAAAGTTAAAATTATTTTTTTAGTGAAAACATTTGTATAGCATTTCTTATTCTAAAAAAATCCTGAAGTGGTTTAATCTGTTTAACGTTTCCAGGACCTAGCTGCAGGTGGAACGGAGTTTTAATCCATATACCTGTAACTGTCAATGTAAAATCAGAAGCCTGTGGTTCTTCCAGATGAATTAGTCCAGAGTGTCAAGGATGATCTTTCAATAAGTTAGACCAGGCTGCCTATTTGAAAAAAGCAGAAAACTATCAAGCTAGATTATGGAGCCATTAAATGAGGTTTCTTCTTTAAGGTACTGAATTTAACAGAGTTGCTGACTATTTTTGCCAGTAAGATACTGCATTTATTTATTATTATTATTATACTTTTTCTCTCCTTAAATTAAAATGTATAGAATGCTTTCATGGGAATAACACATAAAACCAATAACTAAAGATATGAAAAACCAGAATTAAACCAAATAAGAGAAAATAATAATTTTCTCTTATCTGGTTTAATTCTAGTTTTTCATATCTTTAGTCATTAGTTTTATGTGTTATTCCCATGAAATAACACATTCAGCTGCAAGCGCCTATCACATTTACTTAGACTTAAGTCCTATTGCATCCGACGGAGCTTTATTCTAAATTTGCAGCAGAGTGTAGGGACTGTGAATGAAAAAAGAAACATTCAGTGCAATCATACTGGAAGTACAACTCTATATCAAAAATACAGTTTCTTAAGGAATTAAAGCAAAATAATGTACTGTTGAGATACTGTTATATAAAAAATCACAATAAGAATACTCTGATCTAGTATCTTTGTTCACAATCCACTTCACTTAGTGAACTAACTCACTTTCTGGAGATGTGCAACAGTGTTAAAGGTTGACCCCTTGAAATTCACCCAGTGTTTAAGTCAATACAAAGGAAGATCTAATTTGGCTCATGAAACCAGCAAGGTTTATATGAGGTATTAAGAATCTTCTCCTCACCTCTGATTTTTCAGTGATTTTTAAGAGAGGAAGCAAGCCTCCTATCTCTTTGACAAAAAATGAGTTCTATTTATTTACTTGTAGTGTTATCCTTTACCCTTCTCTAATACATAGTAGATGTTGCAAGGATCCCACCTCAGTCAGAAAGAACATGCCTGAGGGATACATTGGTAGGGCCTTTGACAGAATGTCACACTTAGAATATTTCTGTTCAGGGACCCCGTCAAATATGTCCTGTTTCAAGATTCTCCTTTCCATAAAGTACAATAAAAATATAAATGTTATAAATAAACTCTTCTTCCCAAGGTTTCTTGCCTCACTCTCTGATTAAGAATTTGAGAGAGGAAGGGGTGGCTTTGGCTCCCTCACTGCCAATGTGACCCTAAATAAAAAAAAATGCTCCTCCTGATGAGAGCAACAACTCAGGTTATGTGGGATTTTGGAAAACTAGAAAGGAAAAAGAAGTTTCCAGAAAACTCCTGGAATAAGTTGTTGCCTTTTGTCTGAATTCCCTTTGGCCTCATTTTGACTTTGTACATTGATTTATAATTGTTAAGCATTGGAGTGGTTTCTACCCTCATGCTCTGAAATCTAGGAAGATTGATGGACAACTATCCCATCCCCTTGAGTTATGAGATCCTAGAGATGGAAAGGACCAGATGCCATCAGTGCTGAGATAGCACAGCCAGTGCCCTGCAGACCTCAGTGCTCTTTGCTCTTTCCTAGGACCATCTCAGCCAGCACCCAGGTCCAGGGTGGTGACGTGAACCTGTATGAGAACATGCGCTGCCACGGGGTACCACTGGTTACTATCAGCCACGGGCGTGTGGTCTACGAGAATGGGGTCTTTATGTGTGCTGAAGGCACCGGCAAGTTCTGCCCTCTCCGCTCCTTTCCAGACTCTGTGTACAAGAAACTGGTGCAGCGAGAAAAGGTACCAAAAGGGCAAGCAAAGAGGCAGGCAGGGGATATATGACTAAGTGGGGCTGGGAGGAATTTCCCTGTACTGCATACCCCTTTCTCATAAGCTCACACTGTCTGGCAGCAAATCAGTCCTCAGCATCACAGAAGAGCATGGTGACAGAAACTTTGGTGCAGAAAAGTGCCTCGAGAACAAAGATGCCATTGCAGAAATGATCTGAGGACAGTTGCCCCCTTAGCATAGTAAACAGTTGTAATAATGCCCTGCTGTTTAGAGATTGATATAAGGGTTGCAAAACAAGGCCATATGTGTGCAGTAAGGGCACAGTGATGGAGCAATATAATTGCTAAGAAAAATGCATTATATTAAAATTTTACAGATCATGGCAGAAGACCAACGTAAGTACATAAGGAATAGGCCAAAGGCTTATCTGACCAACATCCTCTTTCCCACAGCAGCCAACCAGATACCTTCAAGGGGGCCACAAGAGGACATGATTGCAGTAACATCTACCTGATCATGTTCCCCAACAAGTGCTTCTCAGAAGCATATTGCCACTAATACTGGCAGTAATCCATAGTACATAAAAATTATTAGGAATCGTTGGTGGTTAAATCATCTGTGAATTACTTTACAGAGCCCAAAGCACTTCCTGCTGCTAAGGAAGGTAGAAATGGTTTGGGGGAAGGGGAGGTGGTTGAGCAGAGCAAGTTCTCCACAATGAGGAGGAGTCTGTTTAGGGAAGTACTATGGATATTGGTTTCTGGAACAGTCGCTGATTTCGGGAAGACAGGGATGGAAAGAATCATATGGAGGGACAGGCTTGTGTACATCCCACTGGGGTTTCTGATTTTGCTGACCAGCTGCAGAAAGTGATCTCAAGGGATTTTAAAAAGCAAAGTTATTCTCTTCTTCCTGCAAGAACAAAATTGGCCATGCCCAGACTTGACATGGTTAATGAGACTTGCTAGAAATAGAGGGAAAGAGAGAAGAGGAGCTCACTAGGTACTAGCTAAGGAGAAGGAGAACTCAAGAGGAGGAAGAGATTCCACTGGGAGGGATGAGTGACATCCCCGACAGATCAAATGGGCATGATTGGTATGGTGCACCTTGGTTCCAATATCAGTATTTATTCAAATGAGATGCAAGCTTCTAAGCACGATTAGATTTCTGAAGCCCCTCTGATTGCCAAAGTCGTGTGGGGGCTGGGGAATTCAGTGCCCTGTGGTTCTGCTCCTTCGGCCACATAGCTGTATCTTCTAAAAGTCACTGCCTTTCCAGCATTTGGGCACACTGAAATGTGATGAAGTGATCCCAAGGATGAGGCTGTGCAACCTAGAATGAACTTAGTGAGATCACAGCAGAGGGAGGGAGCTCTCACTCTTCTTCTTCCTGGACATCCCTCTTTCTTTTTCCCCCACATAAAATTAGCTTTTAATTGTATAAGGAAAAATCAAGTGTTGCTTATGGGAAGGAGGGAGGCAGGGAGAAAGAGACATAGGGATATGGAAGCAGGGAGTGAGGTCAGTTAGGGGACAATTTCAAGGGAAAGGGAAGTGAGGAGGGAATGAGAGATTTGGGTTTATTTTGGAGAATACTAAAGCCCAGGTAAAAGTGAGGGATCTTAGAGAGGAAGGTAGCATAGATCCTGGCATCATGGTAGTGCTTGCTTCTGGCACTTAGCAGAACTTCCTCTCCACAGTGAAACCCATCCCAAAACAATCAGGCATGTGCAAGATCCGGCTGACTAAGTCAGATTCTGGCCAAAGCCAGCTGGCTGCTAACCCTTTTAGATCTCTTCCAGCCAAAGAGATGGGCCATTTGTTCACCCTTGTCTTAACCCTAACATCCACTCCAAAAGATTGATCCGGATTTTCTGTACTAAGAGTCTCACTCCCCAAGGCCTGGCTCCCCAAAGATTGTGAGTTTCCAGAGATAGTATTTGGGGGAGGGGCCAAAGCTGACTTTTATTTTGTGTATTTTTTTTTTAATTAGAGTTTAAAGCTTAAAGGCGTGGACCGCACCCCATATCTGGGGGACGTAGCCATGGTTGTGCACGCTGGGAAAAAAGAGACGGGGACACCACTTGCAGACACCCCCACTCGGCCGGTCACAAGACATGGGGGCATGAGGGACCTCCACGAGTCCAGTTTCAGCCTTTCCGGTAAGGAGGGGGCTGGAGCAAGTCTTCTTTGGGGTGGACAGCAAAATGGCAGACCCTGCCCACCCTCCATACTCCTCTAACTCAGGTTGCCAGCATTACTCTCTTCCTCCTCTGTGTCTTTGCCTTATGTATTCTCTGCCTCCTTCTTGCTCCCCATCTTTACAGGGCAGCTTTCCAAGTCCTTCCTTGGAAGAATTGGCTGATTTTGTACATCCTGCCTATGGGACCAGGCTTCTCTGTTAGGACTGGGATCTGGCGCTGAGCCCCCCATCCTCACCCCATTCATCCTTTGCCTTTGCTTCTAAGACAGCTACTTCCCATTCTGATTCACTTTGATGCCTGCACTGCCTGTTCCTAATCCCATCTTGATTTTTTTAGAGAATGTGTGGTGCTTTTCATGGGGGGGGGGGGTCCTGTGTATTGGCTAGAGGAGAGGAGAAGGACTGGAAGAGCAGGGTGGAAGGTGATGTGAGTCAAAGAGGAAAGGCAGAAGAAAAAATAGTTGACTACAGCTATCTGGAGGGAGACTGAATCAAGAGCTTCAGAAAGAATAGCATATTGGAGTGTTTTGGTTGCATTAAAATAGCAAGTTGTTTTGGGTGTTTGTTTCTTAGCATTTCTTAGCAGCCGTCCAAGGCCAGAGTCTTCCCAAGATAGTTTGCAATATAAAAACAGAGGCTATGTTCATACATTCCACTGAGCAGCAGCTAAAATGGGGTGGAGAGTTTGTGGTTCCACATGTCAACAAATCCAGCTGTTGTCTTAGTAGGCTGTGTGAACCAGCTGTAATGTATTTTGTTTGGGCATAGCACCTTATATGAAAATACCAATTTTGCTAACTTAGGATTGGTATGTTACGTGAACCCAACCAACAATTTCAGGAAAACATATCCCTGCATTCACAAGTCAATTTCAAAAGAACCAGTTAAAATATAACCAATGCTATTTTACAAATGCCAGCTTCAGTCACCCCTTACCTTTCTTGGAAGGGAGAGTTTTAGGATAGCCAAAGCACAGCCAGCTATAGCAGGAGCCACTGGCTGTAGCTCTGGAAAGTGATGGTTCTCTGAGAGCCAACTTCAGCTTTCCCCGTCTGGTATGTACAGAACAACCAAAGTGGAGCCAACATTTCTGGCTGGATCATCTACAAATACCAGCTCTTATTTCAGCTACACTCCAGAGGAAAGAGGTAGCTAAAGTGAAGTCAATACAACCACCAACCGTTGACACTGAAGGAGAGAAGAGCATCAGCTTTGGGGAACAGGCCTTTCTTGAAGTCCTCCTCAGAAGTCAGATGGTTCAATCTGGATTTATGATCTGTAATGGAAAGCAAAGATGCAGTTTGTGTTCATTATAAAAGGATCTCCCCAAACATTACTGCTGCAGTCTTATTTTAGCTATGTCTCAGAGAGCATGACAGCCAAGTACATCATGTGATATTAATTACACGAATGGTAGAAACTGTTTTCATTTCACCTTTTGCTAAAAGACTAAAGACTCTCTCAAGTCAGGCTACCAGCTCTTGGCTGATTTCATGCACATCCATGTAGTTTCTTTGCCAGCAATACCAAAGCTGTTACTTTTGTCCAGGATGTTTTCAATTTTCAGTCCAGCCTTGGGATTTTTGATGGAGTCCCACCCAAGCTCTAATCAGATCTGACCTTGCTTAGCCTTTTAATATCAAGCAACATTGGTTAGCTGTTGCTACCTCATACTTCCCATTAATATCTAACTGAAATGTAAATTGCTTCTTCCAAGATGCAATCCCTAGCTGGGCAGGAAAAGAGAGCTACGTTTGCCCTTCTTCATGACCTACACTTTGGCCATTGTTCAGGCTTCCCTCTGGTTCCTCATACAAAATAAAATGTACAGGTTAACTATTTGCATTATGCTGCCTATGGTGCCTCTTAGAGTTCAGCATACCTCTTTCTCTGCTAGATTACACATTTATTTATTTATTTATTTGTCAAATTTATATGGCCGCCCATCTCACACAAAGTGACTCTGGGCAGCATACAATAAAACCAACAATTAAAAACATTCTACAAACCAGTTAAAAACAATGAAGAACAATTAAAGCAATCAAAACAATGAACATAGATAAAACAAAACCACAAGGGGGAAAATATTACATAAAATGTAACCAACATGCGGGCTCCCTATTACCAAGGGATCCCCAGGCTTGCTGGAAAAAACCACATTTTGAGTGCTTTCCAGAAGGCCATAAGGGTTGGGGCTAACCTCACCTCAGGAGGGATGATATTCCAGAGGGTGGGTGCCGCAGCAGAAAAGGCTTGCCTTCTACTCCATCAGATGGAGTTCTTTCATAGACGGGACCCACAGCATGCCCCTCCTGCCACATCTGATGGGATGGGCAGATGTAATCAGGAAGAGGCGGTCCCTCAAGTAACCTGGACCCATGCCCTGTAGGGCTTTAAAGGTTAAAACCAACACCTTGAATTGGACCTGCAAGCAAATTGGTAACCAGTGTGGTTCACAGAGCAGAGGTATAACATTTGTCCCTCTAGGGGCACACATAACTGCCCATGCTGCTGCCTCTTGCATCAGCTGAAGCTTCTGGATACTCTTCAAGGGGAGCCCCGTATAAAGCGTGTTACAGCAGCCCATTCGGGAGGTGACCAGGGTGTGACTAACTGTGAGCAGAGCCTCATGATCCAGGAATGGGTGCAATTGGTGCACAACACAAAGTTGTGCAAAGGCCTTCCTGGCCACAACTGCCACCTGCTCTTTGAGCAGGAGTTGTGAGTCTAGGAGGATCCCCAGATTGCAGACCAGATCTGTCTGGGGTAGTGCTGCCCCATCCAGTACCAAAGAAGATAAAGTCCCAGATCCAGAAGGCCCTAAAACCCAAAGCCACTCAGACTTGCCAGGGTTCAGCTGAAGCCTGTTGTTTCTCATCCAGACCCTTACAGCCTCCAGGCACCAGGATAGGACATCCACAGCACTGCCAGGAGTGGAAAGCTATAGTCGAGTATCATCAGCATACAAATGTTACCTCACCCCATGGCAATGGATGATCTCCCCCAGCAGTTACATGTAGACGTAAACAGGAGCAGGGAGAGCACTGAACCCTGTGGCATCCCATATAATAGGGGCCGAGGGCGGGATCTCTGATCAACATTGACTGGTATCAGCCCCTTAGGAAGAAAGAGAACCAGCCCAATGCTGTGCCACCCACTTCCAATCCCTGGAGCCGATCCAAAAGGATATACCATGGTCAACGGTATTGAAAGCTGCCGAGAGGTCAAGTGGGGCCAGGATGGATGCACTAACCTTATCCCACTCCTGCCAGAAAGCATCCACAAGTGTGACCAATGCCATTTCTGTCCCCTGTCCAGGCCTGAACCCTGACTGAAAGAGGTCCAGATAATCCACTTTATCCAGGGTCTGCTGAAGCTGCTGCATAGCCACCTTCTCCACAACCTTCCCTAAAAAAGGGAGGTTGGACATTGGATGAAAATTGTCCCGTTTGGTGGGATCCAGTATGGCTTCTTGAGGAGCAGGCGAACCAATGCCTCCTTAAGAAACTAAGGAACAACCCCCTCTTTCAAGGATGAATTGCCCACTGCCAGAACCCACCCACGTGTCCTCTCCCAGGCAGCCTTAGCTAGCCAGGAGGAGCATGGATCTAAGGAGCAGACAGCTGAGCTAGCAGTCATAAGGACCCTGTCCACTTTCTCAGGCCTAATAGGTTCAAACCATTCCCAGATAACAGGGCAAGACTGTGCCCAGGCATCTCCACTGGATCTGCACCAAGGCTGGCATCTAACTGGGAGTGAATTTGAGCAATTTTGTCCAACAGATGCTCTGAAAATTCCTCCACCTGGCCTTCCAGATGAATCTTTGGGTTCCCCTTTCCCAGATGGGTTCGGGTCACCTGAAACAAGGCCACCGGATGGCAATCCGTGGACACAATAAGGGCGGGGAAGCATTGTCTCTTTGCTGCCCTTACCACCACAAGGTAGGCCTTAATAGAGGCTCTCGCCCATATTTGGTTGAGTTCATCCTTCACTGATCTTCAGTGGCACTCTAGACATCTCCTGTTTAATTTCCCTCATCTCTTCCATAAACCACGGAAAGCAGAGGATCCACGGGAAGGGAGAGGTCACATGGGTGCAATCCAATCCAAGGCCACAGCCACCCTCTCTTTCCATGAGGCGACTAAGGCCTCAGTTGGACTGTGCAGCAGACCATCAGGAACAACCCCAGCTCCCTGTGGAACCCTTCCAGGTCCATCAGTTGCCAGGGGTGGACTGATCTAATGGGTCCTGCCTCCTGCAGTGGGGTGCAGCACCAGAGTATCTTATGGTTACCAGGGCATGATCAAGGGAGTGACAAGGGAGTCACAGAGAGTTCCCCCAATTCCATATCACTGCAGATATATGAGGTATAATATCTTTTTTATGAAGCTGTTTGAGGGGGTCTCTGTTCTATAGGTCCTACTCTGCAGAGTTGGGTGCTGGAAATCCCACAATCAAGAATTGTGGGCTTTCATAGAGCTTTATTAGTTATAAGATTAGGGAACTCTTTTTGAAATCTCTCTTCATGGATCACAGAAGGGAGAATCTGCTCTGTAAAGCTAATCTGAAAGATTGCCAATCCATCTCTACCTTTTCATTCAGACATGTCCTACCTTGCTTTCTACAGGTAGTCCTTAACTTATGACCACCATACAGACCAGAAAATTCATTGTTAAGTGGTGCAGTCATTAAGCGAGGCATCATGTGACTGCAGCCAATTTAATTACTTTTTTTGCGGCAGTCATTAAGCAAATGATGTGGATCCCCATTGATTTTGCTTGTTGGAAATCAGCTGGGAATGTCACAAATGTTGACGACATGACCCCAGGACGCTGCAATTGCCATGAATACATGCTGGTTACCAAGCACCCAGATTTTGTTCATGTGACCACAGGGATGCTATGATGGTCATAAATGCGAGGATTGGTCATAAGTCACTTTTTCCAGTGCCATCGTAACTTTGGTCCCTAAATGAATGGTTGTAAGTTGAGGATTACTTGTACTGAAGATGACTTCATAAGAAGTATTTTATAAAAACTAAATTATAAATGCAACTGAACTTACTTGTGGTCCTTGGCGTGACCCTGTGGGGGCAGGGTGAAAAGGGATGTGACTCCTCCTTTGCCAGTTTGCTTTTGACCTTGCACCTCCTCTGTCTCCCTTTTTTTGCCACAGGTTCTCAAATCGATGACCATGTTCCAAAGCGAGCTTCGGCCCGGATTCTCGCTCCCCCCGGAGGCAGGTCTAGTGGCATTTGGTAGCTGCCCTCCAGACTTGTCCCCCAACTAAGGACACCATCTCCACCCCCACTTGCCTGGCTGCCACCAACACCCTGCGAGCTCAAGGCAGCCACACCTTTCACCGGAGCCACTGACATGGGCAAGCGCTCTGCTGCCTGCACCCAATGCTGTGCCCTATGGAGCCCACTGCCCTCCTCTGTGGGAATGAGACGATGGGGCCCTATCCCTCTCCTCACCCCACAGCTGCACTAAGTTCTGGGTGACGCACCGAGGGAGGGCCTGCCTTTGTTCCTAGAGAAGGGTAGGAACTCCCCCAAGTACTCTGGGGGGAGAGGGGGGCTGCCCTGGGGAGGGGACAGGGCCCAGAGGGCCTGTCTGTGCCGGTTCCTTTCTGTTTTGCACGTTGGGTTTTTGGATAAGTAACATTTTGACTTGTTTGTGCATCACGTGGAAAAAAAAATACTGAAATAAAGGTGCTTTGTGTACTAGCAGTAGGATAGAAGGGGGAGGTGTAGGCCAGGCTAGGGTGGGGCTCAGCTAGGCTGGAGGACAGAGGTCCCCATTCAGGTATTGTACTTACTGTGCAAGGGAAGAGGGTCAGCCAAGAATTATCTAGGGGTAGACAAGCTTCCTTTCTCTGTTGTCTCATAGGACAATGCTGCTAACAGTTGTAGGCTTCTGCCCCTTTGGTTGGGTTTGCTCCATATTCTCAGCTGCAAGCTCTTGACAGAACTGGTGTAGCAGATAGCCAAGCTCAAATGGTGCCCCTTTTTTCTGTATTTCACCATGTAAAAATGAGTTGTTGGGCATGCTCTGTTACAGGAGAAAGAGCTGTCCTCCTGGCTCGCATTGGAGAATATAGTCTACTGTTAGAGTGGGAGGATAGTAGCCAAGAAGTTTTGTCTTGCTCTTCCCATGGACCTGTATCAGACAGGGGTCATCTTCTTGGCCCATTCTTTGTAGCTTTTTTCGTTTAACATACTGTAATATCCTGAAGCTTTACTATCCCCAATCTCTTAGAAGTCTCCATCCAGGGAGAGGCCTTGGCCTATCCAAGTGTATCAGCCTCTTGGACCTAATCCTAGGCCCTTCTGTGTGAAGGTAGGGTGAAAAAACAGCAGAACCTAGTTGCCCTGTCCCCTTAGTGCCTCTTCTCCTTGTCTTGCAAAAAAAGAGCTGCCAGAGCAGAGATTGATTCTCTCAAAGGGTTGCATGCATAACAAACCCTATCAGCGCTGACAACAGAAAGGGATGGTGTGAGATGGCTGAACCAGCTTCTCCATCCACTCATAGCAGCCACCTTCTCTGCCCTGAGCTTGGCGATAAAGGATTCCTTTAACTGTTTCAGTGAGACAGAGTGTTTCTTCTCTTCATGCTGAGGGATCTGAGCTATTCACTGGCTTTTCAAGCCAGAGGATATCTTGAGAGAAGCCTGCATGCTTTGAAACCTCCTTCCATTCCTCTCTCAACCTGATGGTGCTAACCTGCCCACCTGGCTGACTGTTGGGGCTGATGAAGCCCCCCCATTTCCCTACCCTTGGCCCACTGATACCTCCCTCTGAAATAGCGTGAAATGTGAACTGTTCCTTGTGCACTTTTCCCTCAATAGTTGGTACCCGTAGGTGTATGAGGCCGGGTGGCCAGGCGTGACGGAGTCCTCGGCTCCCAGGACCGCAATGGAGGACTCGGCTTGTGAGCGCAGCCAGCCCTGCCCTGTTACATGTTGGAATAGTCTTGTAATGACTGTTTTAGCACCTGCAGTGCATATGTTTCCTCATTAAAGATTGTTCTCATGATACGAGACTCTTGTGTCTATGTCTTTTGGCACTGCAGGGCAGGAGGAGATGAACCTCAACATGGAAACCGTGCACCTAACTTTTAGCAGCTGTAATTGGAAAGGACCTAAAAAAAAAATGTTTAATGATTACAGAAATGGTTCACCGCTGCCTTCTACCAGAATCTTCTTCTCAATGTAGCCTGTAGTCCTGGGGTTTCCTACTGGTGGTCTCCCATCCAAGTAATAACCAGATCTGAGCTTTTTGGGGTGAATTGATAAGTGCTGCAAGCTCTGGTGTCTTAATATTGATGTAGCTTAAACATTATATAATTACAAAAGCATCAGCTATAGTAACCTGCTAAAATCTTGGAGTTGTTTAAAATAGCCTTCATCTCACAATACAGTACAATTTCAAAACAATTGAAACAGGTATTTTTTCTAACAGTACCACAATCAAGGCCACTTTCTGTAGAGTTACACATTTCAAAGCAGTAGGGAATCAAAAGGAAAGCTTCTTGATAGTAATTTAAAATTTTGGAGGCACATATGGTAAATGGTAGTATTTCAAGTAATATCTCAAGCTATTTAGAACTTTATAAATACGTTTGCCTCTGCATTTTATTTTCTGTCATTCTTTCATACACATATACAGAGGCTGATTTTTTGCCAGTCTGCAAACTCTCTGCACTTTGGTCTGGTCAGTTTCTCAACTTATCCAATTAAACCCTGAATATCTTGTCAATACTAAATTCAGGAAATGGTTCTTAAACCAGATTCTCTACACAGCTATACTCCTTCACTGTAGTTTGCAATCTCATGTACACATTGCTGCTCCAGCCCTTTGCCAGAACATATCTTGAAGTGGAAAAACTCCATAGGATGTGGGAGCTTTGACCACAGTTGATTGGCAACTGTCACTTCCCAGGCTGGGTAATGTATTCCTTGGTTGCTTGGCATCTTTCAAGGGCTCCCCCCTCAAAAATAGCCAAGCTCCCATCTGGGCTACCACATAGTCATGGCAGTGGAAGGAGATTAGCTGCCCCCGTAATGAGTAATAAGGTTAGGGTTGATGGTGGGTTTGCAACTAATGGGTGTTATCCTCAGTCCTCTTAAAGGGAAGAGAATATAATTTCTTCTCAAGGGGGAAAGCCTGTAGGAAGCCGTCTTACATATTTCTGCCTCACTGCAGCCTCAGAAAAAGTTTTCATATCTTACAGCAGTGCTCTTCATAGACTCATGGAGCCCCAGAAACTTGGGACCAAAGACCTGCTTCTGCACCTCAAGCCAAACTTTGCAAGTGTCTTTGAAATGGAGTGATTTGAAGCAAAGACCAGAAGTTGATCACCTTTCTACTCAGAAATATAGGTAGTCCCCAGGTTAAGAACGCCCAGGTTATAGATGGCCCATAGTTAAGAACGGAGCCTACTGTAGCAAAATTCAAGTTAAATACACAATGGTTCGAGTTCATTACACAATACTACTTATACAGTATTATAAAATAATACTGTTCCAGCTTATATACAAATCTGACTAAAGGACAGACCTTGGGGATGGAACTCATTCTTAAACTGGGGACTACCTGTACACACACACATCCCACACACAAACGTATGTGGCTTGCCCTGAAGAAGGGTTGCTGCCCCTTTCACTGGCTCTGCTTTGGTCTGATGAGTTCAAGAACACATCCTTTTCTACGGTCCACTTCCTAGAGAGAAAACAGCAGCATTTTTATCTCGGTCTCATCTTCTAGCTCCCCTGCCTTTGGAAGGCCAGTGTGTAGTGTCTCCTTCGATGGTACAAACTCTTTTAAGGAATGGGAGACCTCGGTGAAAAAATGAGGCCAGTTAGCAGCTGTATGCTTTCTCAAGGCATATTCTTAAATACTAATTTTATATTTGATTGGAATGGTATAATTAAGAGGGAGTCTGGCTTGTTCTGAAACACAACTACAGAAGAAAACATGTATGTACCAATCAGCGAAAAGTCCTCTAAGCAGATCCAGAGAAGAGTCATTGTAGCTAAATTATTCAGTAATTCTGTTACAGAAGTTGGAGTCTGTTTCCATTACTAGAATACCTTTGAGTTCATCAGGGGCATAACAGTGTCTGTCCTAAGAGTATTGCCTCTTTGGGATTGAAAGACATGAAATTTCTCTTACTTTCTCCTCTTTTTCCTTAGGTTTAAGTTTCACTGGTTCTGCTGTTATGATAAAGCATTCTGGAGTCCCGAGGGCAGATCAAGGCAGTAAAGTTCTCTGAACCATCAATGGTCTGCAATCAATCTATGTGGATCTCTACCTCAGCCACAGGGTAGAAGACAGCCTTCCATCACAATAAACTCTCCCCCCCACCACAATTTTATATGTCCTTATCTCCCCACTATAAAAGGACAGTACGGCTATAGTCATACAATATACTTAACCTGATTACTGAATTAACCAATTTGGTGAGTTCATACAATACAATAAACCATAACCTAATCAAATAGTGGATTTGTACACTAAGACATGCACACAAAAAGCTATTCAAAGTTAATACTAACCAAACTTTGCATATTGTGTGAATGTACTTACTACTTTATATGATCAGGTTACACACTATGCAAACACAGCCAAATGGAAAATTCAAAAAATCACAATAGGAAAATAGGTAAGAAGAATTCAGAAGTATGCTCATTAATTTATAACTTATTTTGGTACTACTTAAGGCCTACCCTAACAACTGATATTAGTGCTCTCTGTGTTTGGACAGCTATAGCTTGCAGGGTCTGGGTAGGCCTTGTTAATTAACCCTTCCTGCTCTTTCTTTCTAGTATTCAGCCAAGCAACTGGGTACATCCTCACCCCCTGTGTTTTCAGTTTCCCATTAGACTCCTGATGTAGCATCACTCCAGTTCATTCTATGAACTCAGCCACTGTAGAGGGGAGAGGGACAGGAGGAAGAGCTGCTGCCAAGGCAACAGTCAGATAAAAGAAACTTGAGTCTGGGGCAGAACTGTAGTGTACATAAACATCTCAGACAAGCCACTCCCTCGTTTACACAAAGGTAAAGGGAGGGAGGAGGGAGGCACATTCAGACTTGCAAGATTCTGTTATTATAACTTTACAATAAAAGTAGCATTGATCTACATGACTTTGGTTTCCTAGTTTACCTTTAAAGGCTGATAGCCACCTAGAAAAGTGTTGCTATTCCATGTTGCCAGATAAATTCACCAAAACTGAACTTTGATTGAGTGCCTCAAACCTGGCACTATACCAAAGACCTAGTATGACCTTTGGATTTTTTTTTCTAGTGGACAACCACAGCCATCTAACATTTTTGTATGTTTACATACATAAAATAGCAGCATAACCTATTCCTCTGGAACAGTTAAATGTTGCTGAAAGCCCCCCTCCCCTAAAATGTGTGAACACAATATTCTTTTGCACCTCCAGTTTTTTGCAGTGCCAGTGATCCAGCCTTGGGGTTAGTATTTACAAAAGTGTGA